TTATAGTTGCGGGGGGAAGGGAGGGGGAGCTCATTTTCGTAAGAGGGATATATATGGATCACATGGCGATATTTGACAAAGCCTCGTCCATTTTCTCCGCCATTGTTTCGAGTTCGCGTGTGTTTTTGAATAATCGATCGATTGTTCCCAAGGATTATGCATTCTATATGGAGAGTAGATTTTATGGATCTAACGTGGCCTGTGTGTGAACGGAGTTGGAGAAGTTTTGGTTGGATGATTTTTAAAATGATGAATTTCTTTTTTGAATTCAGAAATTATCGTATAAATATTTGAAAAGATAAAGGAATAAAGTTTCCATACTTGGATCATTGGATCTTCGAGGCAAGATATTATTGAAAATCGGTAAAATCGTAATTCAAATTCACACAAAGTTGGCGAGGTTCGAAGAGGTGCCAAAACTACGAATTATTGGCGGTCGTATAGCAAACGCGAACAAGATATTCGAAATTCGCGTGCACAAGGGGATTCTAACCGCGATTTTATGAGGCATCGTAATTTCGACCATCACGTTGGCACGTTCCCAAGGATCAGGCCAGATCGTTCGCTCGGATAACCGGCTAATGTCCAGGTTTACGTCCTTTTTTCGTCCAGGAATAGGGTATGGATCTTGGTGGCGGGCCCCCGCGTAGAATCGAGTGAGTAGATGCCGAAGTTGGGCCCGTATAATGAAGCGATTATGCGTGGGGTGAAAGATAAGAAGCGAGAAATCGTGGGTCAAATTTTCGAGTTTATGTACTTTCGTAGGATCGAATGTTCCGTGAAATCAATTTGATAACACGTTTATGATGTACCGAGCCTTCGAGTTGGAGTTTTATCGTCGAAAAATGGAGCCGTAAAATTTTTATCTTTGGACGATCTGAAAATGATGGGTCTGATTTCAGATTTGGAGATATCGAAGATGGAGAGATGGAGATGGAAATATTGTTTGCTAATTATTCTAATGAAAGTATTCGTGTAATCGCTTCTGAAAAATAAATTAAAATAATTAAAATCTTTTCCAGAAAAAAAATATGACGAAATCGAATCAATATTCTTAAATATTATATAAAAAATAAAGCAACAAAAATTTATACCAGTGTTAATACAATCGATAAGAACAAAATATACGAGACTAAGTAGGTTCGATATTATATTTTTTCTTCGCTCCTATTGTATTACAACCACGTTCCATACCAATATGGAAGATCAAGTAATGCTTATCGCATTTCATCAACGTTTACAGGGAAAAATGCGCTTTTAATATCCAAGGAGATGGCGAAGCGGAAAGTGCTCGATAAAATATTAAACTTGCCAGGTTCCTGGGGACCCCGTCTATCCGGTTAAAGAGTTCGAAGTAACACCGTGTCTCGATCCATTTTCTCGGGTGAATTTTGTGCGTTTAAAAATGAAAAGGGAACAAAAAAAAAAAAAAAGAAAAAAAGAAAGAAAGTGGAAATGGTAGACGACGCAGTGTTATAAGG